GGAGAGTGACCCTGCGCAAGGTGCCTAGCATAGCTCAGAAGAACACATCCTGGCTGTAGGCTCCTCATGTTTCCCAGACTTGGCGCCAGGGGCAGACTGACCATTTGGAAAACTCGGGCACTGCCCGAGGGCCCAGGGTCAGTAGGGAGCCCCATGAGATGCCCTGGTACCTTTTTCATAGGCTTTTTTGAGTTTGGGCAAGGACACAGGGGCCCCATAATCCTCTATTGCCCGGGGGCCCCATGAGTTGTCAGTCCGCCCCTGCTTGGCGCCCAACGATTTAACTGATAAAAATAGTGACCCTGTACAAGATGCCTAGCATAGGCCAGAAGAACCCACCGTGGGGGTAGGCCCCTCATGATTCCCAGATTTGGCACCCAGCTACCTAGCACGATGATAAAAGATGAGACAGAATATAAGACTGGAGAGAGAAAAGAATAGGAACCTTAAAGGAAGAACAGAGAGAAAACCTGAAAGTGTTTCTCCCATAGAAGAAGGAAAATATCCACTTATAAATTACAATTCTACAAGGTTCTCAGAGAGGATGGTTTCAGAAACGTTGCTCTGGCAACTAACATCATAACAGGAAAGTGCATGGCCATTAACATAATAAAGTCAACATTACATTAGCACGTTTGAATAGAGCAGGGTTTTCCAGCTGGGCAACAAAAGCTAACTTGTAACCTGTTGACTTGCTGCCTTCTCTATAGAAAGCCCTGTGTTATCATGCATATTATCCATAAACCCTATCAGGCAGGTCCCTATGGTAATCACTGGGACTGTTCACTGTGGTCTTTCACTGTACAACACACCTCCATGTCATATGGAACTTACTGAACAGGAGGCACAAATTCACATTGCTGCTATTGTGCTACTGGGATTGCTTGCCTACACCCCAGAAAATTGTTATATGGTGGCATCATGTTCTTTTTCTGGTGGAATCTTTTATCTAGGTTTTGATACCATTTCTGTGTTTTTAATCTAGTTTTTAAAGTTTGTCACCTATTCTTCAATCCATGTATGGTATCAGACTTTGTCCTACAAAACAATAATAAAGATTGATTTAATTGCAAGCTTTTTGCAGCCACTGGCTTGCCCACCCTGAACTACCAATACTGTATGTGGCAATCACACTAAGAGCAAGGACTGTTTTATTACTCCACATCTTCTTTTAACTATTCTAAAATACACATATATAAGTTCCTCCAGCCTCAAAACTTTTAATATCTCTCCTTTTTATCTTTGTTCTTATGTCTTCATTCTGTGCTCTTCTGTCCCTCTCTTCTTTCAAGAACTTCTTTGCATGCATGACATTTTATATTACTCAACAGTCCAATAGAAGCCCGTCCTGTTGAAGAAAATTATCATTCTACCTAAAACGTTTATTCAGCTTTTCTGAGGAACTAGCAAACCCAAAGGCGTAACTAGAACCTTCAGTGCTCCAGTGAAAGAAACCACAGTGGACCCCCTGACCTTCCCACTGACCCTAGGGCCTTTTACTCCCATCACAGTGGGACCCTTTCACATGTTCTGAAGTGAGCTCCCTTCTTGCTGTCTTGCCCTCCCCCACAGTGACATAATACCAGGGTCAAGTGTGATATTTGCAACCCTAGTAGTTCTGCCACTGGTATCAGTATTTTTTCTATTTTGCTTACAAAATTTTTTTTATAATTTTATACCATTTTATTTTATTTTTTTACAATAATATTTTTTACAATTTTTTAGGAGCCCTGTTGGGGACTTTGGTGAAATATGGGGTCTAAACAGACCTCTTATGTTTCACCTTTGAGACAGAGAAAGGAGATTGAGGACACAGCCCTCAGTTATGAATGGACAGCATCAGTGATCGGTACCATTCATTCACAAACTGAAGTATAGTAAACACAGTTTACTATGCCTCAGTTATGAATGGATGGAGTCCAATCACTGACTGTCCATTCAGACAAGGAAGGGGCAGGTAAAATGACACCCTGGCCCCTTTCCCACTCTCCATCTTGACACATCCCCCACAGCAGCTGTTGGGAGAGGGGAAGGGGGAACCCGGCAGTGCTGGTGGAGATGAAGAGGGGGGCCAGGGGATCACATTGGAGCCCAATCACAGCAGGAGGTGGATAGGAGGGTTGCAGGGCAGCATGTAGAGAAACAGATGCCCTCTACATGCCACCCCTCTTATTCAGATGTACAGGAGAGTCGCACGACCCCCCTGGAGAATGGGGCTGGGTCACAATTGAAACCCTGCACATACACCCCTGAGTAAACCCATAAGAATCCTCATAATTCAAACTTGTAAGTAGGTTTCCTATAGTTAGTTTTAACCAGTTTGCTGCCCCCCGGCCGGGAGGGAGGGAGTTAATTGCTGTGTTGCTATTCCCGGGTGTTTCTTAGTGGGCTTTTTAGGTCTGACCCATTGATCCTGTGGCATATAAAAGGAACAGGGGTCCAGATCCCAGGGGCTCGAAGCTGCAGCTGGCAGTCACCAGCCGTAGAGTCAAGGTCTTTATCTTGGATTGCGTCAACATGTACGGGGACTATGGACTTTCCTTGTCATGGACTTCACCTGTGCAGGTACACAGGGGCGGCCAAGCCTAAGTTAGTGACAGAATGTTACGGACAGAATGTTGACTTTGATTTATTGTAATGAAGAAGTTATTTAAGTAAAGCATAGGGGTGTATGAAAGTAACGGACGCACCACACAAGTCTACAACTAGGGTCAGTAAAAGGCATTGGGGTATGAAGACAGTTCCTCAAGAGTTAACATGCCTCTGTGCAGAGAGAGGGTTGCTGTCGGCACTCTCTTCCCTAGCGGTTCACCTCCCATAGCAACGGGAGCAGATCAGCACTGCAGATGCAGACGGCCTTCCCACTAGTTACAGAAAAGGAACAGTTAACCACTTGACCTCCAGAGGATTTACCCCCCTTAATGACCAGGCCTCTTTTTGCTACTCGGCGCTGCACTAATTCAACTGATAATTGTGCGGTCATGCAATGCTGCACTCAAACGAAATTTACGTTCTTTTTTTCACACAAAAATAGAGCTTTCTTTCGGTGTAATTTGATCACCTGTGCGCTTTTTATTTTTCACGCTATAAACAAAAAGAAGCCAAAAATTTTGAAGAAAAACAATATTTTTTACTTTCAGCTATAAAAAATATATAGTAAACTCAAAGTTGGTTATAAATTTAGGCCAAAATGTATTCTGCTCCATGTTTTTGGTAAAAAAAATCCCAATGAGTGTATGTTGATTGCTTTGTGTGGAAGTTATAGCGTCTACAAACTATGGTATAAATACTGCAATTTACGCCATTTTTCTGCTATACAGCGCTGCGCTAGTTTAACGGACAATTGCGCAATCATGCAATACGGTACATAAATGAAATTTACATCCTTTTTTTCCCCACAAATTGAGCTTTCTTTTGGTGGTATTTGATTGCCTGTGCGGTTTTTATTTTTTGTGCTATAAAAAAAAGGCTGACAATTTTGAGGAAAAAAAACAATATTTTGGACTTTTTGCTATAAAACATTTCCAGTAAAAAAAAATGCAAAAATCAAATTTAGTCATAAATTTCTGCCAAAATGCATTCTGCGACATGTCTTTGCTATAAAAAAAAAAACCCAATACGTGTAAATTAATTGGTTTACGTGAAAGTTATAGCGTTTACAAATGGCGGGAAAGATACTGGGATTTTTATTTATTTTTTATACTAATAATGGCGGCGATCAGCAAATTATGGCAGCGATCAGTGACTTAAGGCAGCGATCAGTGACTTATGGCAGCGACCAGCGACTTATGGCGGGACTGCGGGACTGCGGCGGACATTCTGACATTGGGGGGTACTGACTTGGGGTCACTGACATCCCCAAAAACACTAATACAGTGATCAGTGCAAAAAAAAAAAAACACTGACACTATACTAATGGCACTGGGGAGGAAGGGGTTAACTTTATTTTGCAGGGAAGGGTTATTTGAGTGAGGGGGAGTGTTTTACTAGGGGGTGGGGGTGTGTGCTGGACGGGACAAGGCTGATCGAGAGAGAGAAACTCTTCTTTCTTGATCAGCTCGTCCTCAAGCTGTCAGGGAAGTGACAGACAGCACAGCTGTCTACATCTACATCACTACCGCCATGCCGACAAACTGAGCATATGATAAAAAATACATAAGCAGATATTATCTTTGTAGAACAAAAGATATGGGCAGCTAAATTCATAAGCAAATCACAACTTTATTCTTGAAAGTCAAGATTGACTCCATCAATTCCCAGCTTTGGAGCCTTTCTTTTGGTCTTCAGGGCTTCCCATCACCTTAGAAGACCAATTGGCAGATGGAAGGTGCAGAATAAAGCATTATGTTTACTGGAAAGTTGGGATTTATAGGTAAGTTCAGCTGCTGATATCTTTGAATCTACTGACCATGTTGATATGTGGTTTTTTTTTACAAAAACATTATCACAAGTGTTTTCCATCACATGATTAGTTTGAATTGCCCAGGTTTGTAACCATACCCTTCCTGTCCATTGTACTTTCTAAACTTCCATTGCTACATTATTCCACCCCCTTTGGTGCTTCTTTGATGGTACCAATCACCCCTAGTGCCCACATCATTATGTCCCCTCCAAATAAATGATATAACACCACATCTAGCAAAGATTGCAGGCTTGGCAAAGATGGCCACAAGCTCTTCTAGACAAAACAAGAAAATGCTAATTCTAAAATATATTGTCTGCATTCATCCTCTCCTGCCTGCACCCATCCTCTGGGTGTAATGTCTTGATTTCTCTATATGTGGAGGAGGTGGAAGGTCAGCATGTATTTGTATCAGTGAATTCTGATGAAGTGACAGGTAGCATCAGTGGTACCCAGGCTCTGTCTCCTCCAGGCTGCTGTGACAATGCAGCAGGGGAGGAGGTGCTCCATTTCCCTCCCCCCCTGTTCTTTGCCAGACCTCAGTCTCTTCTTCCAGCAGTCACAGCTTCTCGAATCAGGGCAGCGTCTTCGTATCAGGATGGGCCCCTGTGTCGTGTTGGTGGCTGTCACTGTCTGTTTGTCTGTCCCCAGCACCCTTGGCAAGGTTTGTTGCTTGATTTTGGGGGAATCTCTTTCTGGCAGTAATCGTCATCAGCCACCTTGCTTTTCCTTGCTATGTCACCCTCTCTCTTCTCCTTATAGCTTCCTCGCTCATTGCTCTCTTTTTCTTCTCTTCATCCTCTCTCATTATTTTTCTGATGTCCTCCTCTTTATTTTCCTGTCCACATTTCTCTCCACTCCTTCTCGTGTCCTCTCCTCCACCTTCTGTTACCTTCTCTCTTTCCCCGTCTCCTCTTCTTTTTTTTCCCCATTCTCCCTATCTCACTGATCCTCTTCCATATCTCCTCTCATCTCCTCTTCTTCCCATTCTCCCTTTCTCACAGATCCTCTTCCATTCCTCCTCTCCTCTTCTTCCCATTCTCCCTTTCTCACAGATCCTCCTCTTCCATTCCTCCTCTCCTCTTCTTCCCCATTCTCCCTTTCTCACAGATCCTCTTCCATACCTCCTCTCCTCTTCTTTCCCATCCTCTCCCTCTTTCTTCTTCTTTACTCCCTCTTTCACTGATCCTCTTCCATACCTTTTCTCCTCTTATTTCTTTTCTCCCTTTCTCCTTCATATCTTCTATACCTCCTGTCCTCATCTCTCCCTTCATCTCTCTCTTCCTCTCCCCAAGCTTTTGTCTTCTTTTCTTACCCCCCATATCCCTTCTCTCTCTTTTCCTCTCTCACAGCTCTTGTTACCTTCTCTCCTTCCCTCTTTCCTCTTTCTTTTTCCCCTGATTTCTCTCTCTCCCATCCTCTTCCCTATCTCATCTTCTCTTCTCTTTCCATTCATCTTTCTCTCTCTTCCCCCCCCCCACCTCCTGTCATCTTCTCTTGTCCCCCATTGTTTTCTAGTTCTCTCTTTCTCTCTCTTCCATTCCCCCAGCTCCTGTTATCTTCTCTCTTTCCCTATTTCCTCTTCTCTTTGTCACCTTCTCTCTGCCTCTCATTCTCTTATCTTCCTTCTCTTTTATTTCATCTCACTCTTCCTCCTTTCCCCCTGTCCTCTTCCCCCCCCCCCTCTCTCTCTCTCTCTCTCTCTCTCTCTCTCTCTCTCTCTCTCTCTCTCTCTCTCATCTCGCACTCTTTCACTCTTCCTCTTCTTTGGTTCCTGTTACCTTCTGTCTTTCCTCTTCTCTTTACCCCCATCTCTCTCTCTCATCCTCTTACCTTGCTTCTCTTTTTTCATGTCTCTCTTCCTTTCCCCCACCTCCTGTCCTCTTCTCTTCCCCCCATCTCTCTCTCATTCTCTCTTTCCTCTTCCATGGCACCGGTTACCTTCTCTCTTTCTTTCTTCTCTTTCTTTCTTTCTTTCTTTCTTTCTTTCTTTCTTTTTCTTTCTTTCTTTCTTTCTTTCTTTCTTTTTTTTCTTTCTTTCTTTCTTTCTTTCCTCTACTCTTTGCCCCCATCTCTCTCTCTCTCTCATCCTTTTGCCCATCTCCTCCTCTCTTTCATCTCTCTCTCTCAAACTCTTACCTACCTCCTCCTCTCTTTCATCCCTCTCTCTCAAACTCTTACCTACCTCCCCTCTTTCACCCCCCCCCCTCTCTCTCTCTCTCTCTCCTCTCTCTCTCTCTCTCTCTCTCTCAAACTCTTACCTACCTCCTCCTCTCTTTCATCCCTCTCTCTCTCCTCTCTCTCTCTCTCTCTCAAACTCTTACCTACCTCCTCCTCTCTTTCATCCCTCTCTCTTTCCCTCTCTCTCTCCCTCTCTCTCTCTCAAACTCTTACCTACCTCCTGCTCTCTTTCACCCCCCTCTCTCTCTCTCAAACTCTTACCTACCTCCTCTTCTTTTTCATTTCATCCCTCTCTCTTCCTCTCCCCCCCACCTCCTGTCCTCTTCTCTTCCCCCCATCTCCCTCTCTCACTCATTCTTTCTATTCCTCTCCTCCACTCTCCGTTAACTTCTCTCTTCCCTCTGTCTTTTGTCTCCTTCCTCCTCCTCTATGCCCCTCTCTTTCTTTTCCCTCTCTCTTTCTTCTCTTGTTCCTTTTCGCTCCCCACCCCATCTCCTTTCTTTCACCATCTCTCCCTTTATCTCTTTTCCTCTCCTTTGTTCTCCCCCTTTATATTAACCCCCAATCTCTTCTCTTCCTTCCTTCTTTACCTTTTGTCTCTCTCTCCCTCTGCCCCCTTCAGGTCTCCTCTCCCTCCTCCTCCACCTGCTGTTTTTCTCTCTTCTTTCCATCTATTGCTCAGCCAGGTAGTCTTGGTCTCCCCAGTCCCCTCCCTTCCCCACCCTTCAGTCTTTCCATTCCATCCAATAACACTCTCTGTCTGTCTGGTTTTCTCTCAACATTTATCCTTCCCCATCTTGTTGCTAGGATTGGGAAATACGTGGGGTACCCTGGGGAGGAGATAAATTGTGCATGGCACAGCAAAGGGTGGGCAAGGCCAGATTGTGCCAAGCCACAGGGGGGGCTTATAGGGGAATGGTTACCTAGAACCCTTCTCTACTTGCTGCATACATGGCACACATATGCCTAAGTCTTTCTGCGCACAAACTGTGTCTCAATTACAATGTCATCAGTGACAGTCTCAGAGACACACATAAACCTCACAAACAAGGATACAAAAAGTTATTATACAACATAACATATAGTGTGCAAAGGTCAGAGCTATGTAATGTACAACAAATTTATAGGGGGCAGTGTTCAGGATTATGCCATATACAATGTAGTATAGTGTGGAGAGGTCAGGGCTATGTAATGTACAACATAGTTTATAGGGGGGCGGTGTTTTAGGATTATGTAATATACAATATAGTATAGTGTGCAAAGGTCAGGGCTATGTAATGTACAACACAGTTTATGGGGGGCGATGTTTAGGATTATGTAATATACAATATAGTATAGTGTGCAAAGGTCAGGGCTATGTAATGTACAACACAGTTTATGGGGGGCGGTGTTTAGGATTATGTAATATACAATATAGTATAGTGTGCAAAGATCAGGGCTATGTAATGTGCAACACAGTTTATGGGGGGGGGGTGTTTAGTTTAGGATTATGTAATATATAATATAGTATAGTATGCAAAGATCAGGGCTATGTAATGTACAACATTTAGTTTATAGGGGGGTGGTGTTTAGGATGTATGTAGGATATACAACAATATAGTATAGTGTGCAAAGGTCAGGGCTATGTAATGTACAACACAGTTTATGGGGGGGGGGGGGGTGTTTAGGATTATGTAATATACAATATAGTATAGTGTGCAAAGGTCAGGGCTATGTAATGTACAACACAGTTTATGGGGGGGGGTGGTGTTTAGGATTATGTAATATACAATATAGTATAGTGTGCAAAGGTCAGGGCTATGTAATGTACAACACAGTTTATGGGGGGGGGTGTTTAGGATTATGTAATATACAATGTAGTATAGTGTGCAAAGATCAGGGCAATATGTAATGTACAACACAGTTTATGGGGGCGGTGTTTAGGATTATGTAATATACAATAGTATAGTGTGCAAAGATCAGGGCTATGTAATGTGCAACACAGTTTATGGGGGGGGGGGGGTTTTAGTTTAGGATTATGTAATAACAATATAGTATAGTATCAGGGCAGTAATGTACAACACAGTAGGGGGGCTAGTGTAGGATTATGTAATAACACAGTTTATCAGGGTTTAGGATTATGTAATATACAATATAGTATAGTGTGCAAAGATCAGGGCTATGTAATGTGCAACACAGTTTTATGGGGGGGGGGTACGGTGTTTAGGATTATGTAATATACAATATAGTATAGTGTGCAAAGGTCAAAGGTCAGGGCTATGTAATGTACAACACAGTTTATGGGGGGGGGGGTTTAGGATTATGTAATATACAGTTTAGTTTAGGATTATGTAATATACAATATAGTATAGTGTGCAAAGATCAGGGCTATGTAATGTAGGGCATCACACAGTTTATGGGGTGGGGGGGGTGCGGTGTTTAGGATTATGTAATATACAATATAGTATAGTGTGCAGAGGTCAGGGCTATGTAATGTACATCACAGTTTATGGTGGGGGGACGGTGTTTAGGATTATGTAATATACAATATAGTATAGTGTGCAGAGGTCAGGGCAATGTAATGTACAACACAGTTTATGGGGGGGGTGTTTGTTTAGGATTATGTAATATACAATATAGTATAGTGTGCAAAGATCAGGGCTATGTAATGTGCAACACAGTTTATGGGGGGGGGTGTTTAGGATTATGTAATATACAATATAGTATAGTATGCAAAGATCAGGGCTATGTAATGTACAACACAGTTTATGGGGGGGGCAGTGTTTTAGGATTATGTAATATACAATGTAGTATAGTGTGCAAAGATCAGGGCTATGTAATGTACAACACAGTTTATGGGATGGGAGGCGGTGTTTAGGATTATGTAATATACAATATAGTATAGTGTGCAAAGATCAGGGCTATGTAATGTGCAACACAGTTTATGGGTGGGTGGGGGGGGGGGTTTAGTTTAGGATTATGTAATATACAATACAGTATAGTGTGCAGAGGTCAGGGCTAAGTAATGTACAACACAGTTTATAGGGGGGGGTGTTTAGGATTATGTAATATACAATATAGTATAGTGTGCAAAGGTCTATGTAATGTGCAACATAGTTTATGGGGGGGGGGGGGGGGGCGGTGTTAAGGATTATGTCATATACAATATAGTATAGTGCGCAAAGGTCAGGGCTATGTAATAAACAACACAGTTTATGGGTGGGGGGTGGCGGTGTTAAGGATTATGTAACATACAATATAGTATAGTGTGCAGAGGTCAGGGCTATGTAATGTACATCACAGTTTATGGTGGGGGGGACGGTGTTTAGGATTATGTAATATACAATATATTATAGTGTGCAGAGGTCAGGGCTATGTAATGTACATCACAGTTTATGGTGGGGGGGACGGTGTTTAGGATTATGTAATATACAATATAGTATAGTGTGCAGAGGTCAGGGCTATGTAATGTACAACACAGTTTATGGTGGGCAGCATTTAGGATTATGTAATATACAATATAGTATAGTGTACAAAGGTCCGGGCTTTGTAATGTACAACATAGTTCATGGAGTGTAGCATTTAGGATGAAGTGAAATACAATATAGTATACTGTGTAGAGCACAGGGCTATGTAGTGTGCAACATAGTTCAAGTGGTGCATTTTAGGATTTTATGTTATTTAGGATTAAAGTAACATAAAGCATAGTGTTGTGTGCAGAGGTCAGGACTATGTATCAGACAACAGAGTTTATGGGTTGCAGCCTTAAGGAGTATGTAGCATACAACATAGCATATGGAGTGCAGAAGTCAGGGCTATGTAATGTTCAAGATAGTGTATAGGGTCAGAGGTCAGGACTAAGCAACATACAGCATAGCATATGCAGAGCAGTTGTCAGGATTATGTAATCTACATTATAGCATACAGAGTGCAGTGATCAGCAATATGAAAAGTACAAACACAGTTTATACAGTGTGAGGGTCAAGACTATATAATGCACAACACAGTGAAAAGACTGTATTGGTTAAGACTATTCAATGCATAACACAGTTTATAGAGTGCAGCTGTAAGGAATAGAGGGCCCTTTTCATTGATGTTCACTAGTGAGTATCCCCTTAAGCAGTGGTGATTGTCCTAAATGTTGGTGATCAGTAGTGAGTGCCCCTTCAGACACGTGTGTTCATTGGTCAGTGCCCTATTATACATTAGTGTTTAGTGGTCAGCCACTAATATACATTGGTGCTCAATGGTCAGTTCCCCCTTTTATGTTGGTGTTCACTAATTAGTGTCCCCTTATTGACTGGTATTAGGTGGTCAGTGTCCCATTATACATTGACGTTCATTGATCAGTACCCCCTTAGTGATGGCTGGTAAATGTCCCTTAAAACATTGGTGTTCAGTGGTCTGTACCCCCATAACATTGGTGTTCAGTTGGTCTGTACCCCCATGACATTGGTGTTCAGTGGCCTGTACCCCTTGACATTGGTGTTCAATGGTCTGTACCCCATGACATTGTTGATCAGTAGTCTGTACCCCATGACATTGGTGTTCAGTGGTCTGTACCCCATGACATTGGTGTTCAGTCATCTGTACCCCATGACATTGGTGTTCAGTCATCTGTACCCCATGACATTGGTGATCAGTGGTCTGTACCCCATGACATTGATGTTCAGTGGTCTGTACCCCATGACACTGATGTTCAGTGGTCTGTACCCCATGACTTTGGTGTTCAAGGATCAGTGCCTATTTATATATTGGTGTTCAGTGCCCCATGATTGATAGGTATTCAGTGATTAGTGACCATATATCCATTGCTTTCACAGTTCATGTGACATGCTCTGTCAGAGAGGTGTCACTAGACCTGGGACACATACCCAGGCTGCCCAGGTCCATAGAGCTTGAGCACCATCTAAAAATAAATCCTTTATTTTTTCTGCATTGATAACTCCCCTTCCTTCCAATCTCATTATATTATGACTTGTGGTTTCTAATTATTATCTTAGTATATCCATGAACCTCAGTTACAGACTCCATCTCAGATTCATATTAGAAGCTCCCTGTTATATTACCTACACAGTACACAGCCCCTCCCTGTGTCCCGCTGTGCGTATAGAAGCTATAATGTCCAAGGATCTCATGCGATGCCTCATTATCTGTAATGACATTTTCTTCCTCTGCAGATGCTTGGGGTATTAGTCATAGATACTGATAAACCACTGATTAGTGTCTGCCTGCAGCTAATTGGAAGGCACTGGGAGCTATAACAGTCACTAGGGAATGTGCACCAACCAGAGACCTGAAAGATGCTAGGAGTGTACAGAGGGATGCTAATAAAGTGGCAGCTCTAGGGGATTTATAGATCTGTAGGATCGTTCCTGGATGTATAGTTGGGCATACAAATGCTTGGTCCACAGAGGTACACATATATATTTATACTATAGTTTAATAAATGGAAAAACCTGGATTTGTCTGCCTTTCTCTCTATCTACCTATCTTTCCATGCATTTTCCTATAGCAGAAACAATAAAATTCTGTTTAGTTATACCCTTGCTGTGAACACCCCGTGTCTCAAGACACAGGCAAATGATTGAAAGCTAAATAAGGGGTCAACTGAAATCTTTCATGGGTAAGTCTACGCAAAGAATGTTCGGGGTTCTCTAACATAAGGATTATTTGAGATTGATTCTCGTTAAAACGTGTGATTAATGATATCACATTTGTAGAAATATAATAAATATCTGGAGAAGTTGTAATACTTTAAAATATAATCTAAGTTAGAGAAGTAATGTGAATCCCATTAAACATAATTTATATTTGCTGTGTAATGTTTTCATTTTTGTAATAATATACAAAGCAATTTTCACACTCCTGATCAATATACGAGGTGGTATCAAAAAGTTTCGAGACTCGTTTTGTAACACGTCAACAGATGGTAGCACAAGGCTGCACGCACAGTCAGTTTCATAAGACATCAAAAGACAAAAGACATTGTCCTGTGTACATCGGGAGCTGTGCAACTGGTGCTATTCTGACCACGTGCGTTACTCTACTATTTCATCATGGACAGCAAGTTAGAACAAAGAGCAAATGTGAAATTTTGCACAAAACTGGGCAAGTCTGCTACACAGACGTTTGATATGATTCAGCAGGTTTGTGGCGATGCTACAAGTTTTTTGAGGTGTTTTGAGTGGCACATGCGCTTCAAGAACAGAAGAACACCAATGGAATACGACGAAAGATCAGGAGGATCTTCAATGAGCTCAACCCCAAAAAATGCCCTCTTCCTAAAGATGAAGATCCAACTCAAAGGTCGTTGTTTTGACAACATTGTGAAGAACCAGCGATTTGCCCAATTTCACACAGAATTTCATATTTGCTTTTTGTTCTAACTTGCTAGTAGGAGTGGTAATGCATGTGGTCAGAATAGCGCCAGTTGCACAGCTCCCGATGTACACAGGGTGATGTCTTTTGAAGGTAGGTGGTTCCTTGTGCTGCCATCTGTTGGAGTTTTACAAAACTAGTCTCAAAACTTTATGATACCACCTCGTACCTTCTCTGTAGTGCTACAAATGACTCATATAATAGAAGCTTATAAATAACCTAAATCAACATTAATTATGTTTCAGCCTACCAGCCTTTAGATGTGGAGATTAGTTTTCTTGTTCCAAGCTTTTTTCTTTATATTCTCTTGGTGATCCTACCAGTAACACTCTTCTTTTCCTTGTGAGACAATACTCACCATGTTGTAGCTCTGGTAGAATGGCATGGTCACCCAAGGATAGGAAATGTATTAGGACTACAGAACACTCCCTGTCTCCTCATCTTCAGAACATGTTGAGAGGTGTTTTGAAGTCCTCAGAAGGTAATCCATGCACGTCTGGTAAGACTGCTTGAGATAACAGTACAGTGTCCAAAGAAAGTTAGGAGCTAACTTAATTTTTAGTAGGTTCAACAAATACTTTTGTTGCAATTATCCACCAGACAAAATAAAACACTTTAAATTATATAGTTAACAGGACAAAAAGGGAGCAAATAAACTTTCTGCTAGGGATTAAATATACTCCATTTTAGATAATCAGTAAGAGATTAGAGGTAATTATTGATTAAATATTTTGTCTTTCACATCCAGCCCTTGGGGATACTTACTCACGATGACCTTGGAGCTCCCTTACGGGTCAGAAGAAGCCTCCCAGCTAATATCCCTTATGAAGCTGATATGATGTCCTACGTTCCACCAGAAGCACTTCGCAACGAGCCATTATATGCTGACCTAAACCAGGCCATGCTCGCAAGACTTGCCACCTACCCTCAAGAAGAACTTCTTGCTCAAGCCTTGGAAAGAATGGGTTCCCCCCGCAGAGTGGACCCTGCTCGGAATGGTCCATCTCTACAACAGCTGGTAGAAGAAGGCCAGAGGAGGGACAAGGAGACCATCTATCTGGCCAACCTTCTGCATCTCTGGAATCAGATCAACCAGAACAAGGCCTACGCTGACCAGCTGCAAGCATTTTCTGGCCCTGCTCAGCCTGAGGTAGATTACCAGAGACCATACCAAGATTATGATGAGACTGAGGTGGTGACCAGCAGGACACGACCACAGGCATCCCGCAACCAAATGGCACAAGCTCTGCAGAGCTACTACCGACAAAACCGGGGGTTTGAAGGCCCTGCTCTACGGCTGCAGCCAGAAGAGGGCAATGATGATGGGTATCCCATGGATGAAGAGATGTTAAGGTAAGCTGGAGTAACTTGTGTTTTATGTAAATTGTATGTACAAAACAATGCTAGACACAAGACTCGGGCTTTAACGAACATTGACATTCTTCATTAATTCAGTTCATGCCCTTCAAATGTCCTTGAAAATTAAACAGTTTTGTCATCCAAAAAAAGCTGATCTTTCACCTCTGTATAATCACAATCCTTATTTTTTTGAGCCCTCAGAAATCTAACAGTCATCTACACATAAAAGAATTTAAAAAATAGGATCAGTGTGTCAACCTTGATCTTCAGAAGAGTATTCTGAGGAGGACTAAAGCTGGCCATAGATGGATCAAATCTGTATGCGATCCATCTACGGGCAGGCTGGTTGTGTCTCATAATCATTATCAGCTACCTGACCTTTTAATCAGATAGGAGTTCTTTCACCTAAGGCATAAAATGCATTTTTTTTAAAGATAAATAAGTAATTGATGTGAAAATTTGGAAATTTTAAAGTATATGTTTTTTTTACAATACAGGTACCTGGTGACGCGGGTTCTGTCAGCAATGAGCGAAGCAGAAATGCCTCAACGCTTAAACTCAAAGGCACAGCGACGCATGCGGCGCTCTCTGGAGGATGACCACAGTGAAGACACCCCAGCCAACCTCCTACGTGTAAAACGCCTAGACACTGACAACCCTGACTACATCGCCAATGGGGTGCTGCACAGGAAAAGACCAGAGGGAGAACTCGAACACCAGAGGGGAGCCCAGCATTTCACAGATCAAAGGGTCACTGAGCAGCTTTTGAAATATTTTCCTGAATAGTTCTATACAAAATTTCACATACAATCTTTCATGCCATGATCACACCAGTCTGTGTACATATATCTGTATTACACAATCATGCAGTGTTTTGTCTGCTCCACACACACTCCCCTTTTCAATTCCACCATTTTAGATCCAAGATGGTCTTACTATGGCCATCATTTGTTGAGGGACTACATGCCCCAATTTGCCCTGCCAGCTGTTGACATGCTGGTACTTTCCCATTCATTATCAAAGCCTACCACGTGCCCACATGCGACCAACTGCAAAACTGTAGCGTAAACTTAAAAAGTGAAAGTTCGGTTTAGGATGAGACTTCCTTATTGGTTACTGAGGTTCCATCACTGAACAGCAGAAAGGCTTTTCCTGAAGTCAAAGCCCTTAGCAAAGTGCTCACTCCATCAGCGAGGCATACAAAGGAAGCTTGTTTTCAAAATGTCTACTTTTTAAAGATTAAAATGGCTGACAGTTTCACTTGAATCATGGTATACCAGGGTGCATCTACAGGTTCTCTCAGGCATGTTTTGGTAACTCCAACAAAAATTTTACATTTTCAGTTGTGGGTGGCTCTTGGCAGGTTGTCATAAAAAACAGCCACACAAGTGTGGTTTCTTCAAGGAAAGGATGCCCTTTGTAGCTCAAACTGGCCATGCTGGCTTTGGCAGTTTTGTGACAATTTCAACCAGCTTTCTTTTAACAAAAAAAAGTAACTGGCTGCCCCTGCTTTGATTAATTTGACTATTCAGCAAAAGCTATCTGAGAGTGCCGGAATTTCCACAAGATTGAGGTTTGTGCAGGCAATATAAAACAGAATTGTTGCAGACAGACAACAATGTCACCATTGGCCTTCCAGATAGACTCCCTGTTCACGTGCATTGGAAGGTCAAAGTGCTTTGTGAGAATGGCTGCCTTTTTAAAGTAAGAGTAATTAATATTTGGAAAAAGCTGTAAACCCTAACAGCCAGTCAGACTGTAATTTTATAATTGTCTGTAGGCATCTCAGTTGAAGAATAAACTTTCATTGGTTGTAAATGAGTCCCTGCACTTTGCATGCAATTAGTGCCCTTTGCTGTGCCTTATTGTACAATCTTGAAAGTAAGTTAAAGTCTTAAAAAACTTCAGGAAACTTAAAACTAGATATAGAACATTATCCATGCATCCCTTGTCATCCAATGGGATTACAGCTCTTAGCTGTTTTTGCAACTAGTGCTATGGCCTTACCTCTATTGGAAGTGCTTAATGAAGTAAGAGTATTGGAAAAGCAAAAAGGAACTGCCCACATCAAGAATTCAAAAGCCAGCTGTAAACCTCCAACCTGTACTAGCAAAAAAGGGGCAGCCATCCTGTAATTGGGCAAATGCCAAACAACCAACCAGCAATCAGTTCAACAAGCATTGGCCATGCTAATGGCAGTGAACATCTGATTGATTGCTATGGTGACTGCCCATTTGTATCTCTTTTAGTATATAACTCCTGTTGAGTCTCAGTAGGCTCCAGAATTGATAAGGTCTGAAAACACTGCCTGCATTGCCTGCAGAAATGATTTTTTTTGTGACCCTTGGAATCATATCAGTTGCTATGGAAACACATCAGTCTCTTGTCCAGCTGGAAATGAAATTAGGCTTATGGTTGGCATGTGTACCATGCTGCTTTCTTGAAGTGACAATAGCTCCATATTCATGAAGTGTTCTCAGTCCTTTCGTAAACAGCAACTCCCCCTAAAACAGTGATCTCAGTATCAGGTGGAGTGAGCCAGAGTTGTACCTCTTGTATGACTTTCTTCAGTGCCTTGTAGCCTAGTTGAGGGGGATCACCTGCAACCCTGGGCCAGAGTGTGACATATAGTGAGCAGAGACAAGAGTTCAGCTCACTTCTCAGCTGGTCGGTCTGAGTGATGGCCCAGTCAAAGAGTGGAAGACCTCTTTCTAAGCCCTTGGACATCAGGAACCAACTGACTAGGTATCAAGCCTGCTCCATTCTGCCTAAAACAGAACAAGCTGTGTTAGGTGGAGTTTGCACTTTAATAACTATAGAGTGTATGATGTCAGCTTAATCTACGTGGCTGGACATTAATCTACATGGCTGGATATTACGGCTATCACCTATTTTCAGTTGTGCTGAAACAGGAATGTTTAAACCATGATATTCACTCAGGATGTCTCCATCTTTATACAACCACAATCTCCATGTTCATACACCCACAATGTCTACGTTCCCTGAGCTGCCAATGACATATCCCTCCCCAAGGCCCAAGTGTGTCAAATCAGGACTTGTTTGCAGTAGCTTCAAACAAAGTGCCGCCCAGAGCCATCTGACACTCATGTAATTAGAGCTCACAAATATGAAAATGTCCTTAACAGAGAAAATGATTCTTCATTGAAAGCAGTTGTCTATACTAATTTGCAATCTACTCCATCTTGCTTAAGCTTTCCTAGCAGCCCGACACATGCCCATAGCCACCTGACCCTTTTTTGTGATTTAAGCTCCTGCTATGGAAGTGTCCTCACAGAGAAAATGGTTCTCTGTAGAAGGTGGTTGTTTATTATTAGTTCCATCTTGGATGCACAGAAAGGCAGGAGAATCAATTCACAAAATTGGGACTATGGAGGGTTTGCAGAAACGACTTCTCTATGTTTTAACAGCAGGGCAGTTCATTGTTGCAAAGCAAAACCCACCAACCACACTAGGAGCAGAAAACCACAACCAGCAATGCAGCTCCAGATAAACAGGCCCATAATACATCTATATATGTGTTTGTTATTTCACATCGCGCTCTCTACAGAGTCATGTCTGAGTGTTTCAATTTTTGTATGTGCATTATTTTTTTTAAACTTTGCTTCTTGCCTAGATGTGCACTTTGATCTGAAAAGAAATGTAATTTATTGTATATTGCTCTGCAAAAAAGTTATATAAAGTTGTGCATCAATGGACTCTTCATGCGAGTTCTTCGTGGGGGGGATGTCACAGTCACATGAATGATTTGAGGTCACATGAATGAAGAAATTCACCCAATATGCTACATTAAATTCTCTCTGATTAAGAAAACCTATCATGAGAGAAACATGGAGGCAGGCCCGGACTGGCACAAAAAATAGACCCAGGCATTTTAGACTGAGCAGCCCCAAGCTGGTGGCAGAACACCAGGGCCATGTCGCAAGTGCAACCTTTCTAACCCTGGTAGTTGCAACACTGCTGTCAGTAGTTTTTTATTTTATTTTTTTAATTTTTACAATTTTATTTATTTTTTACAATTATATTTTTGATAATTTTTTTAGGAGCCCTGTTGGGGGGCTTTGTTGAGATATCAGGGATCTAAAGAGACCCCAGACATCTCACCTATGAGACAGAGAAAGGAGATTGAGGATACAGCCCTCAATCTCCATCTCTACAGCATCAGCAGCACAGAATGAATGGACAGGAACAGGGGCGGACTGAACACTCATGGGGCCCCCGGGCAATAGAGGATCATGGGGCCCCTGTGTCCTCACCCATACTCAAACCACACCCAAAAATGCCTATGAAAGGTACAAGGGACATCTCATGGGGCTCCCTACGGACCCCGGGCCCTCGGGCAGTGCCCTAGTTCCCCAATGGTCAGTCCCCCCCTGGACAGGAATAGCTCTATACACAGCTTCCCATTCATTCACAAACTGAAGTATAGTGCATATGTAGCACATAAATAATGCTCTAATATATTAGTGTTATAGGTAGATGTATACCATAAACATATATCATTGTGCGTAGTGAACAGATATACTCAAATAAATACCAAATATACATACAAAAACATGCAAATCCTTGTGTCATAAGTGACAAACGCATGTGCCCAAATGTGCGTTGAAATTATCCAAAAATAATCATATGTCCATCAATGAAAATTAAACATATTAGGTGCCAAATTCATCGGAAATCACTCATCTACGTGATGAACTTGATGTATGCTGTGTTTGAAATTCACCATATTAAACAAACAGTTTTTGTAGTGAATTGTGCCTTTAATACTGCCATGCTTCATGTGATATTCAAATCCAACCGAAGTGCAATAGTGTCCCTCTTCAGTGTCTACACACCCCCGACACACTATTGCGCTCACCTTAACATCTGACCTGTATCCCAGGTCAAACTGCGCTTTTCCCTTTTAACTGGGTAGGTATATTGATGGAACTGCTCTTCCACCATCAGCTTACTATCAGGTGTATTACTGCTCTTCCTCCGTCAGCTTACTATCAGGTGTATTACTGCTCTTCCTCCATCAGCTTACTATCAGGTGTATTACTGCTCTTCCTCCATCAGCTTACTATCAGGTGTATTACTGCTCTTCCTCCATCAGCTTACTATCAGGTGTATTACTGCTCTTCCTCCATCAGCTTACTATCAGGTGTATTACTGCTCTTCCTCCGTCAGCTTACTATCAGGTGTATTACTGCTCTTCCACCGTCAGCTTACTATCAGGTGTATTACTGCTCTTCCACCGTCAGCTTACTATCAGGTGTATTACTGCTCTTCCACCGTCAGCTTACTATCAGGTGTATTACTGCTCTTCCTCCGTCAGCTTACTATCAGGTGTATTACTGCTCTTCCACCGTCAGCTTACTATCAGGTGTATTACTGCTCTTCCACCGTCAGCTTACTATCAGGTGTATTACTGCTCTTCCTCCGTCAGCTTACTATCAGGTGTATTACTGCTCTTCCTCCGTCAGCTTACTATCAGGTGTATTACTGCTCTTCCACCGTCAGCTTACTATCAGGTGTATTACTGCTCTTCCTCCGTCAGCTTACTATCAGGTGTATTACTGCTCTTCCACCGTCAGCTTACTATCAGGTGTATTACTGCTCTTCCTCCATCAGCTTACTATCAGGTGTATTACTGCTCTTCCACCGTCAGCTTACTATCAGGTGTATTACTGCTCTTGCACCGTCAGCTTACTACTCCTCCAACTCCACTCCATACATATGAAAAAGATGCTCCTCATCGTGTAGTATTTATAAATAAAAACACC